CACTGATGAATCTCAAGTCATCAGTATTTGATGGGTATTCTGCATCACAATTTTTTTCCTCACTGATTTTCTCTTCTCTCCATATTCCCTAAGGATCTGTGTCTTTCACCTTTTTCTATAATTATGGTTCCAGGGGTATTCGCTATCGTTGTACCTTGCTCCAGTGACTATTATTCTTTTATGAACCTCGACAAACAGGATATTTAGCTGGGAGTTGGTTGCAGCTCATCTTGATCCTGTCTTTACACTCGTAGCTTGTTGGGGTTGCTGGATATCAGGCACAACATGGATGTCTGAATTTTCTGTTACCTGGGGCGCTGAGGCAAAATGTAGCACGCATAAAATCATCCAACAGAAATCATCCAAAAATCTGAAGTCTGGAATTAAATTTTTTTCTTAATATTTAGGATTGTACAGAATGTGGAAAATACTTGATTTTAGACCTAAATTCAAAAGCTAATTTTCTAGCTTTGTTAAAAAGGACTGGCTTCTGCATTAAGTTTGAGTGGAAGAATTTTGCAGAGTTCTACACAGTCTTACATTTTGAGACACAGTAGTCTTACAAACATTTCCCTGTAGAAGTTAGGCTTGTAAAACTGCATTATGGCATTACTTTGAAGATTTCTTGCCAAAATCTGTGCAGAAATAGAATGATGGCTCCTAGCCTGTTTGTATGTCTTGCTGTGGAGACATTTTCCTTTGCAGTTTGGCGCATTTTGACCTTGATGTGAATTAGAATATTAAGATTGTGCTCAGTAATAAATTAAGGGCACCTCTATCATTGAGGTTGGTTAACAATTATAATTCTGCAAATGAACCTTCAAATTATGAATTTCTTGAAGTACTGTTGAAAGTAAGATAATCTAATATCATCCATTTTTTAAAGTTGAATGGGTTTATAATTGTAAACAGGCGTTGAATTAGCAGAAAAGGGGAGATTTGACTACCGTTTATCACTATAATTGCAGCAAATTTAGAGTTTTTGGTGGGTTTTGATTTTCAAATGGAGTAATTATGGAGTTTCAGTCCAGTATATTCATTGTAAGCTTTTAGCAGTGAAAATAATGGTCCCCGGCAGCCAATTGTCTTCCACCATAGGTCTTTCCCTCTCCCCAGCAACTTTAATAACTCTTTTGTGAAATTGTCATTTTCTCCAGGATACTTTGAAAACTGGATGGGGTAGAATGTTCAATGTGGTGTTTGTGAGTCAAATTCATAATTGATACTGTAAATATATGATTTTGTCACTGCAGAACTGATAAGAAACAAGGTCACAGTTGAGATGTTACCCATCTGATTGTGCATTATTCCTCAAGACGTGTATATTAATTGGAAGCTATTTAATACTTATGATTTGAGTATTGTCCCATTGTTATTGTCCTATTTTTCTTTTGTGACTTTTTCACTATTTTTCACCCATCACTCTTTCTGTAAAAAATAGTGTAATGCTTGCATTTGATATGGTGCCTTATTGTGTCAAAATGTCTGAGTTGCTCTGTAAAATTAAGTGACTGTATTTATAGTTGAATACGGCAGCCAATTTGCACATATCATGTCCCCCAAACAACCATGAAGTGAATGACCTTTTTGTTAAACTTTGTTCCTTTTTTGCAAAATGCCATGGGATCTGAACAGGTTAAAATGTTTCCAGGACATTGGTTTAACATCTCATCCAAAGGATGGTATTTCCAACAATGGAACTCTCAGCACTTCATTGGAGTATCAGTGTAGAATATGAGCTCAAAGTCCAGAGCTTCTCTCAGGGAATATGTAGCAAACTTCCATAGTTTCTATTCTTGAGGTTCATGATATTCATTTCCTAAGCTCTTTGGATATATGCTACACATGATGTAAAGCAGAATTTATACAGGTACAAACGTTCAGGCACAGTATAATTTTCAGGATTAAAATTTCTTCTCCTGGAAAGTTTTAAACCAAGGTTTTCTCCTTAAATTAAAATAGAAGTAAAACATGAGAAAATATCTCAGTGCTTAAGGTTAAATATATGATACACACACATTACATGTAATATGTATATTTCTTAGTCATTCTGGAATTAATTATGAGACTAAAGAGATGTTATATGGTCTATGCTTTTCATTTATAAGATCAGTCTACTTATACATTTATTGCTAAAAAGCAACATAGTACCGCATAAACCAAGCAGTATTTAAAACCAATATTAAAAGCTGGTTCCTACACAGAATTCTTAGTCTACTTGTGTATTATAAATGAACCCAGGTTTGAGAATTTAAAAAAAATCTTAAGATTCGCTTTTTTTTAAAACAAAACATTTGCTTATATAGCCCCTGCGATGTGGACTCAGTTCACTACCCCACCTTAAAAACTGAGTGCCAGGCAGCACATCCTGTGTGCTGTGTACTCTCTCGAGTGTTTCCAATGGTTTTAACATGCTGGGAGGCCTTCTGTGCCTGCCTGTCCGTTATGTGCTGAAAGTTTAAAGCAAGACCGTGCTATAAATAAACCCGTGCTGTACGGGATAATATATTGAAGTCCAACTGTATTTCTTGCATTCTATTATGTAGAACATTTTGAAATGATAAACAAACACGAGACAGTTTGGCTGGATAAAATGAGCATTAAAAATTATTGGATAAATTGTACTATGCACTGAACCATAGTTTAAAATGGCTTCAAGGATCATTACATTGGCACTGAAATGAATACTGTTTTAATTATCTATAAATAATAGTTTTTTTATTTTCTAACAGAGCTTGTTAGCAATTGGAATTTGGAGAACAAGTGAGATTAAAGGACAATGATTTAATGGCAACACGTAATATAAAGTTACAAAACTTTTAGGAAAATCCATGTTTGAAATTATGATGTATAAACTGAGTTGTAGGAAGATTAAGTGGGAAATTCAATTTGGAAAACTGAACTGGATGATGGATGCTTATTTCTTATTTCTATCAGAGAAAAAGAGAAACCTAGGAAGACCTCAACCTTATTGTTTAAATAAAGTCAAAAACATCCTAATCCCAAGCAGAAATATTTTAAGATTTAAGAAAAAAAACAAGAGCTGGTATTCACACAAATAACAAATTAGTATAAGGAAACTATGTATTGGTAAGGCAATATGCAACACAGAGTGTAGTGGTTGCAAGAAGGAACAAAAGAGCTGTAATAGAAGGCATTTAAAGGTCCTTTAAGCAAAATGTTACGTAGATCATTATAGATGATTAGGTTTATGATAGATGTACTCATTGATTTTTTCAAATCGATTTTCATAAAAGAAGACTACAGACAGATCTTGGTCTAATAAATTTGGCTCAGAAATGTACGATATATGTGGTGGTTAGCCAAGTTGATGTTCTGAAAAATCCAAGCCAGAAAGAATGGTTGCATTCGACTACCCTAAAGCAATTGAAGGAGAAAATTCATAAGGTTCTGGTTTAAAATTGTAAGAGTTTTAAAGAAAGTGGAGCAATAACTGAGAACTGAAAGAGCTCATGAATCTGGAACAAATTTAATAAATAGATATTTTGAATTACAATGGTACAGAATTGGGATTATTGCAGAGTACAATTTTATATAATACCATATTGAGTTTGTGGTTAATTAACAACCGGGAACACCCATTGATCACTCATCAGAAAACTTTTCAGGCCTTGATGTGAGTCCCCAGAATTTAGAATTTTGGATGTTACAAAGACGAAATTGAAACTGAATGGGTAATACTGATAGATTCAGATTATAAATGTGAATTATTTTGCACTAAATTACTACGCAAAATTTTTGCTCTCCTTGTGTTCATCGACTAAGCAAACAGCAGAATCTTGCGGGACTGCAAGATACAGGCAACAAAATCTGTTTGTGTTCATGTGGATAATTACGACATTTGCGTGCGACTGCGAGGTTATTAGGAACACGATTTCCCTACAGTGTGGGTCAATTGCACTCCGAGTAACATTGCGTGCAATTTCACAATTGCACACAAGTAATTTTTATCAGATGGAATTATTAATCATCCCAGAATCCCTCTGCCTGGCTTCCTCCTCTCCACTTTTAAACCCCATGTCAAGGTCTTCCTTTTTTGATTGTGCTTTCAGTCACCTTTCCTCCACACTTCTCAGCTTCCCCTCACCTCACCCATTCACAGTTTGAGCCTCTCAGTCAGATGGGAAGGGCTTTGAACAATTGTGATATGAAAGGTGCTGCATAAATTCTTTTTGGTTGTCATTAAACAGTGAATAGTTAGAAAAGGGACAGAGTCACAAAGAGCAGAGAAATATAAAGAATCTTAAAAAGATGGGGGTGGGGGAGGTGTTGGCAAAATGTTGTCATAACAGCCTTGGAGAATATTCCAATTTGTTAATAGGGCCATGTTAATGTTCCGTGATATTGTTCTAAGATTATATAAGACATTTGCGTTTTCTCTATAATTACTCTTATTTTACTTATTTCCCCACATATAACTATAAAAACTTGGCGCTTGCCTCTTTGTCTTATTTTTGAACAGTGTGATGCACCAAAATAAAGTGCCACCAAAATAAAGTTCTGTGGTGTATATTCAGTCTTGAAAAATGACTCCAAATTGTATAATTTGCTAAACTGTTAAGAAAAATAATACCTGATTCAATGCTTTCAGAAACACCAAGGCAGTAGAACAAGAAAGCCTTTGTTAGATGTTTATGAAAGCTATCGTTTCAATGTAATTTACGCAGAGGGTAATCAACAGCTGGAACAGGATACCAGGGAACATGGTAGAGATTAGGACAATTGGCTCATTATAGAAGTGACTGTGTGCTGTCATGGAAAGATGGTCAAGTCAGTGTTCTGTGAGATCCAATGGGCTGAAGGACCTTCTTTGGAACTCTCTTCTGATTAGTGCAGTTACATAAAGTAAAAATTTTGTCTTACCTGGATACAGCAATGTACTTAATAAAACTAAATATTTTTAAGAAATGTATGCTCGTTTAACTTATTTTTACTGCGTTTAGCCTTTATTTTTCATTATTTTTCCTTTGCATTTTCAGCCCTGATGACATTGGTACCTGCTGGTATATACTACTGTCTGGATCCGTGTTCATTAAAGAGTCCATGTTTCTACCAAGAAGCAGGTATGTTTGCGTAAAAAATATTGCATGCTAATGGGACTCACCAGCTCGTTCTAGCTATTTGAAGATTTTATTTTGTTAATAGGTACCATTTTCAAACAATAAATTGTAACTTATTTATTACATTGTATATTTAATAACATAAATAAAATAAAAGTTACAGAACCACTGTTTATCTTCCAGGAAAATGTTAAATAATATGAGGAGTTCATAATTCACAGTTATTTCAATGGAATCATCTGGAATTTTTTGTGGGAGACGGGTAACATTTTAAAATAAAGTTCTGTCTGCCTGTTTAAAGATTTAGGTCTTTCTTGTCTTGAAACAAATTTCCTCCAATATCTTAAATTCACCCCCCAAATATTTTCCCACCCTGTAGAACATAGGCACAGACAAATTTGGATATGGGCACAGACACATATCTCACCTATGGTGACTTAATGCCACCACTCATAGAGCTGTGATTAAATGATTATTCATGATGTGCATCAGAGGGCATACATGGGGTGGAAACTAGAAGGCTTGTCACCCCAGGTAATTCTTAATATCAGCTGATATTGACTCATGCTAGCATTGGCATAGTTTTGGAACATCCAGCTTGTCCTCTTGACTAAACAAGATTTAAGGGATAGAAGTCAGGATGAATGAAGATGATGAAATGCCATAACATCTCCAGTTATTCATAGCTGGAGATGAGAATAATAATAATCCTCGCATTTGATATAGCACCTTATCACGTCTTCGAGACGTTTCAATGCGGTTTACAGAATATACTGCAAAGTGAATTGACTATATTTTTCGGGCGAAATGCGGCACCCAGCAGAGAGAATTGCGCACAGCAGAGTCCCACAAAGAGTTGTGGATTAAAGTGACCAATTTATTATTATTATTTATTTTGAAGGAATTATTACCCCCAGAAAAGCGATCTGCCAATTGACTAACAATGGGGTTCCTAGGTAAACAGAGGCGTATGGAGTAAACTTGCCCAATGTTTTGCCCTGCCGGGAATCAAACTCAGGTCTCTCGCTTGCGAGGCGAGTGCTCTAACCGTTGAACTACAGGACTCCACTACAGAATAAAAATTAACTGGCTGTGCCGTGTACAGCATCTGGCATACCATGTGGGTTTGTCAACACAATGGATTTGAAGCTTTATTTCCATAAGATCTTGGCAGAAACATAGTGTAAGAATAGATCTAGTTCTCACTATTAGTACTTCCATATTACAATTACTGAAGATAAGAACATAAGAATTAGGAGCAGGAATAGGCCACTCAGCCCCTCGAGTCTGCCCCGCCATTCGATAAGATCATGGCTGATCTTCTGACCTAACTAATTACCTGCCCTATCCCCATATCCCCTAATCCCTCTATTTTTAAAAAAATTATCAGCCTCAGCCTTGAAAATGTTTAAGGACTGAGCATCTACAACCTTCTGGGGTAGTGAATTTCATAAATTTCAAAAATTCAAATTTCATAAATTCACTACCCTCTGAGTGAAGAAATGTTTCCTCAACTCTGTTCTAAAAGGCTGACCCTTAATTTTAAGACTGTGACCCCTGGTTATAGATTCTCCTACCAGGGGAAACAGTCCCTCAGTGTCTACTTTATCAGCCCTTTAAGAATCTTATATGTTTCAATAAGATCTCCCCTAATTCTTCTGTACTCTGGAGAATACAGCCCTAGTTTATTCAGCCTATCATCATAGATCAGTCCCCTCATCCCAGGAACTAACCGAGTGAATCTACGCTGCACCCCCTCTAGGGCAAGTATGTCCTTTTTCAAATAAGGAGACCAAAACTGCACACAATACTCCAGGTGCGGTCTCACCAAGGCCCTATACAGTTGCAGCAAGACTTCCTTACTCTTGTACTCTAAACCTTTTGCAACTAACGCTAACATGCCGTTTGCCTTCTTAGTTGCTTGCTGTACCTGCAAACTAACTTTTTGAGACTGGTGTACAAGTACACCCAAATCCCTCTGAACACTAACACTATCTAATCTCTCCCCCTCTAGAAAATAATCTGTTTTTCTATTTTTTCTACCTAAGTGAATAACTTCACACTTCCCCACATTAAATTCCATCTGCCACCTACTCGCCCACTCCCCTAGCCTATCTATATCCCGTTGCAATCCTTTTGCATCATCCTCAGAGCTTACTCTCCCACTTAGTTTAGTGTCATCCGCGAATTTAGATACGTTACATTCAATGTCCTCGTCTAGATCATTGATGTAAATTGTAAATAGCTGAGGCCCAAGCACTGATCCTTGTAGCACTCCACTAGTCACATCCTGCCAATTCGAGAATGACCCCTTTTTCCCTACTTTCTGTTTTCTACTCTTCAATCCGTGCTAATATGTTCCCATTAATCCTGTGGGCCTTAACCTTGTGCAATAGCCTTTTGTGTGTTACTTTGTCAAAGGCCTTCTTAAAATCTAAATATACTATATCTACTGGTTCCCCCCTATCTAACCAGCTAGATACATCTTCAAAAAACTAAAAGATTAGTTAAGCATGACTTCCCTTTTGTAAAGCCATGTTGACTCTGCCTAATCTTGTTATGGTCTTCCAGGAACCCCCAAACCGACATTTTTAATTAAGGACTCAAGAATTTTTCCTACCACTGATGTCAGACTAACTGGTCTATAGTTCCCCATCTTTTCTCTCCCACCTTTCTTAAATTGTGGTGTTATGATTGCAATCTTCCAATCAATGGGAACTGTTCCAAAATGCAGAGAATTTTGGAAAATCAAAGACAAGCCAACCACTATCTCAGTAGCCACCTCTTTTAAAACCAGAGGATGTAGGCCATCAGGTCCAGGGGATTTATCAGTTTTAAGACCTGACAATTTACCTAAAACCATTTCTTTACTAATATTAATTTCCCCAAGTTGCTCGCTAACATTATCTTCTTCGGTCCCCTCTATTCTTGGTAGGTTTTAAGTGTCTTCTAAGGTGAAGACAGTAGCAAAGTACTTGTTTAATGACTCTGCCATGTCTTTGTCCCCTACTATAACTCTGCCTCTATCGGGCCCACATTTACCTTTGACAGCCTCTTCCACTTTATATATTTATAAAAACTCTTGCAGTCTGTCCTTATGTTCATCGCTAGTTTGCCCTCATATTCCATTTTCTCCCTCTTAATCACTTTTGGGGTTTTCCTTTGTTGATCCCTAAAGTTCTCCCAATCCTTGGGTTTACTACTCATCTTAGTTGTTTTATAGGCTTCTTCCTTTAACTTTATACTTTCCCTAACTGCTCTAGTTAGCCATGGTTGGGCCACCTTTCCTGTGGCATTCTTATTCCTCAAAGGAATACGTGCTCACTGGGAATTTTGCACTTTTAAACTTCTGCCATTGCTGGTCTACTGTCAAAGATGAGCATCACAGATGTTTTCTTGATGTTATGGTTTGTCTTCTATAATTGACAACAACTTGCATTGATATGCGGGTTGTGTCTTGGAGTGCTTAACAGCAGTATGGCTTCACGCTAAGCTGGAAAGATAGGGGAGGTCTAAAGTTGAAACTGTTCAAATGGAATTTTGAGGAAGCTGTAGTGTCCCTGTAATTTAAAAAAGATCCTGAAAAGTAGGAATTATCTCTACAAGTTGCTTCTTGACAATAAGTTTCTAATTACATTTGGATTTTGGTTGATGAAAACATTCATTACTCCTGGTGAGTGAAATTAAAACTTTACAACTGCTGTTTTAAAAAGGAAAATACCTCAAAGGAGCTGTTGGAGTTATAAGAGTACTCTTGCAGTTCAAGAATGAGGAAGACCCGGTAAAAGTATTTTTGGTTAGAGATAATTAAACAATTCAGTTTACTCGACAGTGGTGATAGCATCTGATGTTTTTTCATTCAGTTACAGTGGTATCGGAAATGTCAGAAATTATTTCAATCAAGTTCTTGAACAGCACTGTGTTTTGCATCTAGTTCAATATCTCTGCATCTATTTTGTTATGCAGTACCCTTTTTAGAAATATAATAATAATATCCTTTCATTTGATAGAGTGCCTTATCACATCTTTCGAGATGTCTCAAAACGCTTCACAGAATGTACTGTAAATTTAATTCATTGCATATTTTGTAGGCAAAATATTAAATAATATGAGGAGTTCATAATTCACATTTAGAACACTCCAAAGGAAAACTCAAAAAAGTAAATGTGTATCTTGTTTGATTTAATAGCCAACAGCCATTCCTTGCATTGGGACATTGCCCAGCTTCTGCAGGAAATGGGTGCAATGTTGCAGTGCTTAAAAAAAATCACATAAAGATGTAGTTATGCTTTCATGCTGAGTGTTTAATTCTCACCACTTCAGTGCTGGGTCCCTCCAAATAGTTTTCCAGAATAATAATGCTTCTTTAGTATGGTAGACTTTTTAAAAAGAAAAAAAAACTTTTTATGAGATGAAGTAGATGAGAAATGAAGGTGATGTTGGCACACCTACATAACTGCACATAATAATCCTTGCATTTGATATAGCACCTTATCGTGCCATTGAGATGTCTCAACCACTTCACAGGATATACTGTAAAATGGATTGACTGTGTATTTTGTGGGTGAAACTTTATTTGTGAGTACCATGGCATCTGAAATGTGTATAATTCAGGGCTGCATGTGGACTGATACATAGAACAACTATGGATTATGAAATCATCAAACGACCTGCATGTGCAATGTAAGAAAGAATTTTCCATCAGCTGCCAATTTATAGTGAAATGCCATGTCAAATACACAATTAAATCTTTTACATGAAGTGACTCAGAGAAGTAGACCAGTCACTGGGGGCCAGGATTCATCCCATTCAGCTACCTACGAGCCAAAATTAAAGGGTATGGTGGTCCCAGCTGGACGAGCAGCAGGAAGCTTGCACAGTGAACACAGCGGCAGGTGCATGAATTTAAGAGGTTAAACCACCAATACCCCAATGCACATTCTGGGGTCTTGAAACCTTAGCTCTTGCTAACCTGCAGCTTAACTCTCCAGGTGTAGGTAACT